GGGTGGATAGGTTGGGGAAAGTGAAGGTTAGGGGGTTTTATTTTTTCTAATTGAAAATCATAATAAAAATCAAATTAAATGAAAAATAAAAACATAAGGGTATTATGGTCATTTCAAATCTGGAACGGACTAAGTTTGCAACAAAATTGTGTTTTAGGGATGAAGCGTGTAAGTTTGAAACTATCGAGGGACGGTCCGAGTTAATTTTTGAAAATAGGGACCGAACGTGCATTTTCGTACCTGCACGAGGGACGATTCGTGTAATTTACTCAAAAATGGAGGAACAAATCTTTTTGGAGGAGCGACCAACTAGTGATGACACAAACGTGAGGTGCGTTCATTTGATGGTACCAACCCAAAAGGATGGATTCATGAGATGAAAAAGGTTATTCTCATGGTATAAAGATGAAGAAACAAAAGCTTCACTATAATGATCAATCATTCAAAAATATCCAAATGATTACAAGAAATAAAGATAGTTTGGTTGATTCGAAAAAGCCATTCCTACAAGGAATAAATTCCAGAATTTGACAAAAACTTCAATATATGATAAATAAACCCGACTCGTTGTTTATAAATCAAAGGAAGAAAAAGACAAATTTAAATAAATCTTATAAGTTTGTTCCAAAATATGTTTTTTTTAACCACTATATTTTTATATCTATTTGTGCCAAATGGGCCATAAGGCTACAAATAATTAACCTTTTTTCGGTAATTATTTAAAGACAAAATTGCAAGAATGGTCCCCATGGTATGTCAAAACTAGCAACTTTGGTCCAAAATGGGTTTGGCTCGCAAGGATGGTCCAATAGATTCATTTCCTTGCAAGTTTGGTCCAATTTAGTTTGAATTTTTTTGTAAAGACGATTTTGCCCTTATTGTTTAATTTTTCATTTTTGTTTTATTACATGTAATTAAAAAACAATTAAAAATATAACAAAAATAAAATACCTCTCTCTCTCTCTCTCTCTCTCTCTCCAAGAATCGACCTATTCATCTTCTTCCCACACTTCAATTTTCTCTCAGATGTACTCAATCTTTATTCACCGGAAAATTGCACATCCACCGGAGACAATGGCGTTGTGCACCACTAGAGACGTCCCTCCGACGAAGACGATGGCCCTGTCCACCACTAGAGACGTCCCTCCGCCTTCTCCGACGAAGGGTTTTCTGATGGCGCCATATTTGTTCGATCTACGTTTATGAAGGGTTGTAGCTCCGATATCTGATCTACGTTTCTGTCTCTTTTCGTCTTCTCCTGTGTCTCTTCAAATCCCTCTACCGACTTTAGGTGGTGGTGGTTATGCTTCAGGCGGCGGTTTCTAGAGCCATAACTCTCCTTATGGATTTCATTGGCTGTTCATCTCTCTCCTAAGCTTTCTCGTTCTAAGAGGGTCGGAAATCCCCAACTTTGTTCGTCCAGTGGCTATCTTGAGTGAATGTGCCGCAGAAAACAACTGAACTCGCGATCTAGGGTTGAGATTTGTTATTGTTATGTTTGTTATGTTTCTCTCCTTCTTCTTCTTCTATCTAGATTGTTGTTTTTGGGTTTGTTTGAAATATTTCTTGATGTCGATTCAGGTGGTGGTGAAGGGCAGTTCATCAGATCAGGAAAAGTGATTTATGGGTTGGTGAATGATTTATGGGTTTGTGAATGTGATGTTCTTGTTCTTGAACTTAGGAAAAATGAGTGTTCTTGAGATTCATATTCCTATTTGTGTGTGTATGTTTTTAGTTCTAATCGACTTCGCAGCTAATGAGATTGAGCTTTGCTTCCGTTGTTTAATCAAATTAATCTTGATGTATGTGTGTGTTTAGAGTCTGGAACATTTGTAAACTTAATCTAATAAATTGAACAAAATCAATAAAAGTGAAGGTTCTTCGTTTTGCAAATCCACTTCCAGACATGTGTTAAATTTTTTGTGTTTTATTTCAAATCCAAAATCAAGAACGAAGAACGCCCATTGTGGATTTGGATTTGGGATGTTGGATGGTGGTGGGTCACGACAGGGGGAGGCGGAGGAGCTGTCACAGTCGACTGTGGTGGCTCTCTTCATCGGAGAAGTTAGAAACGAGGGAGATAGACGAGTTGGAGATGAAAGGGAGGTCGGAGAGAAATAGAGAGAGAGAGAGAGAGAGAGAGAGAGAGAGAGAGAGAGAGAGAGAG